AGTGCCATGAAAAGGACTTCACCATAAAATAGTTGTAATTTACCCAAGATTTATATGTTGAGATGTGATTAGAAAGAATATTTGCAATTTTAATTATCGACTTTTGATCCCGCGACTACCTAATCATCACTAAAAGCAATCGACGTTACCATCTTTTCCAAGTTTCGTACGAAATGCTTCCTTTCTCTTGCACTTTTGCTATGCTGAAACTTTTCTACAACTTACTATTTATAGGGTGCATTTTTCCAACATAGTGAACATACCTAATACAAACTACATTGGTAAACCACTGCATTAATAATACCAAATATCTTATATTATTTTCTTCCTTTTAAAGAAATTATTTGTTGTTTTAGCTAATAGAAAAAAATCCAATTAATTTGGCTTAAATAAACCTTTAAAATCCAATACAATCTAGGAAGGAAATTGATGAGATACTTTCGTTAACTGGCGTTCAATAAACATTTCCAAAATAGCTTAAAGGGTGGTCTGGCCACCCTTAAGGTTGGAATTTTCTTGGAATAGCGGTTATTACAACGAAATGCCGATCTGGAAATTCAAGTCGTTGATAGATATTAGGGATGTTATGGATATGTAGTTTCGGTTATGGATACGGTTAAGGATACAGGAATAATATTATACCGGTTTCAGTTACGGGAATGGATATTTTTTTATTTCGGATATCCGAAAGTTTCGGTTACGGTTACGGATATCTGTGCTTTAGAATGCAATTTGCAATAGTTGTCCAACACGATTCATTAATGGCCGCACACTTTACATCGAATAAAAAGTATTAAAAAATAAAAAAATATACTACATGGCATTATTAAGGTACCTAAATCATGTTGTTATGCAATTACATATATAATGCTATACAAAAAACAATTTAAACTGCCTATATCCGAAACTATCCGAAACTTTTGAATCGGTTACGGTTTCGGATATTTTTTTATTTATTTGTTTATTTATTTATTAACACCAACAAGACATACACCATTTTAGACAATATTATACATGCTTATATAATAGGTTAAGTGCTATCTTATATTATTATTTCGGATAACCGAAAGTTTCGGTTACGGTTACGGATATCCATAACATCCCTGGTAGATATCTTTTATTTTATTAACTGAGAGTAATCTTGCCTATAATCACAGCCATGGCAGCTGGAGCAGGTTTCTTATCAGAAAAAAACATTCCCTTTTAATTACAACGAAAAGGCTTTTCAAAAGAATCAGGAAGGAAAATCGTTTGGAAATGTTCATTTCGTTAATGACCAGGCCTGGAACCTTTCTATCTATGGATAAGAAGAGACTTTAGTGAAAATTCACCATTTGTGTCTTTTATTCCTATGCTTTATTTGTATAATGTATTTTTTTAATATTGCTGAAATTCATAATTATCTTTACAACTTTTCTTTTATTTTGAGAATCGAGACTGAAGTCCCATATGATTTGCTTTGGCGCCATTATTAAAGAACTAGCTTTCCGCCCGCGGCTTCGGCCGCGTGGAATTTTGTATGTCACAGAAAAAACTTTATCACGCGCGTCCTTGTTTCAAAAACCGGGATAAAAACTATCCTATGACCTTTCCTGGGACTCAAACTATCTGTATGCCAAATTTCATCAAAATTGGTTGAGTGGTTTAGGCGTGAAAGCAAAACAGACAGACAGACAGAGTTACTTTCGCATTTATAATATTAGTATAGATGATAATAAATAAGATAACTATTAACTAACCTTAAGCATCAAATGCTGCCGCCGCACGCCGATGCCTTATTTAATTAAGCAAGCTGTTTTGCTTTGGCTTTGCTCCTCGGTTTTGAGTAGCCTTTGGAGCAGCCGTGGTGGCGTGTGGTCTAGGCGTGAAAGCAAGACAGACAGAGTTACTTTCACATAAATAATATTAGTATAGAAGTAGAGATAGATTTAGGTCTCAAGTAAGAGCCTCTTTCTTGATGTTATTTGCTTACTTTATTCATACTATCGTAGGGGTTATAGCAATTGAGGCCACCCCAGTATCAGACCTATCCTAAGATCTAGGTTTGTGTTTGACATGGCTCAAACGAACCCGGGATTTAACATCCCCTTCGTACAGAGACGATCTCTAGATTTCTTTTCGGTTGTATAATGGGATGTGTTTACTAAAGCTGAGAATCAAACCCCAAATCATAACAATAGATATCCAGATCCAATAAACATATAAAACCACACAAAGGTAAAAAATACTTGATCTAGTTAAAACTATATTTAGCTCATTCGTAATCTTATAATAAATTTTCGTGTACGTATATTAGGTACATACTCAAATAATTCTTACAACTTCTACAAGTAAATTATTAAATCTGATCCTAGGCTTTCGAAATAAATAGAAATAAATATCTATTGAAGAAAATTTAATTCATTAACGCTAGTAATATAATCCAGTTTTATAATTAAAATCGTAAGTAATCCTTGTAGTCTTTAGAAGTAACACCGTCAATAAAGACAGAATAACTGTAACACAAGACACATACAAATTGCTCTAGGCTTTACCCGTACAAATACGTTTACCCCACCTACGAGGTCTAAGATAATAATATTGTAATTAGTTTCAGTAAGGATCCAGTAATCATGCTCCCTTTTCTTAACATTACTAAAGCCTGGTCCGTGAGCACGTAGAATTTTGTCCAATGACCCCAAGCTACCCATCCTTATCGCTCGCGCGTAATTTTTTATATTGCTGTCGCGACTGTGCGACGGGCTGTGCCCGCAGTGAGTGTGCGAGCGCGACAGCAACATAATTACGCGCACGCGATAAGGATGGGTAGCTTGGGGTTATTGGACAAAATTCTACGCGCTCACGGACCAGGCTTTAGATAATCGTTTACTACATTTTGCTTAGATACAACTTTGAAGCTGAGTCTACGCAGCAGTGGTATACGACGTGTCGCTGTGACGCACTGGTTTCAATGCATTTTTATGAAATTGCTTCGGCCAACGTGACGTTAAGTACGGAATGGTAATTTCATAGAAATACATAGCAACCAGAAGTTTCGCGCCGACACGTCGTCTGCTGCTCCTACGTGAGGTCGGCTACGAAATACCTTTACTGCATCTTCATTTAAAATATGCTTGTTGATCTCTAGATAATTGACATCTTCATTTTTTGCCTCTGTCTGGTAAGAGGGTCTTCCTCCTGCAATGGATACTAAATACCCTAATGATGATGATAAAAACCATACAAAAAAATTGAGAATCTCCCCCTTTTTTCAAGATAGTTGAAGAAACTAAATTGACTGCAACAGCCTTCTGTACTTGCTAGCTCAAATATCAGTGATGATTTTTACCAAATTATGATTTCTAATTACAATGTTTTTTCATGTTGCACTTGGTGTTAAGTGAGATGTAGTCTAGGATGGTACAATAAAATTCTGCCCTGTAAGTGCCTAATCTTTCTCGCCTTGATTGTGCGATGCCTCTGTCAATTCTGACATTGTATTCAATGAATCTACCGACAGTGACTCTATTTTATTTCTTCCCACTTACTTAGAAAATATTTGATCAGATCATTGATGTTTGTATTTCTGGAATATTGTGTGAACAAACACGTGTTGTGTATTGTCCCACGCAATATTTACGCTTATACCGCTGGGAATGGAGGACTGTTTGGTATTCGTGGACACGATGCCCTTTAGTGTGCTTGTGGACGTGACTCGGGTGACCCAGTGATTTTGCAGGACCATTCAGTTTAAATATGCAGGGTCTTATAAGAAAAAGGCAACCCCTGAAACTATCTTAACACATGATATAAGTACTCGTATAGGTACTTTTGGTATACCTACTCGTTGAAGCAACGTGACTATTCAAAAAGGTATTCATGCGTGTAAAATATTTTGCATAAAGCAGTTAAACTAAAAAATAATCTCCCGTTATTTTGTTAGAGAAACGGAGAGTCATGAGAAATATTAGGTGTTAGGAATTTCGTATTAACGTTTTCACAAAATTGATGACTGACAAAATTTCGGGCCTGTCAGTTATTATTTGAAGCACAAGGAGTAAGTGAACTTTAGAAATGAGTTCAGCTTCAAAATTTACGGTTCCTTTAAAGTGTTTTTTTGCTTTCTATCAATATTAGTCAAAGAAAACGGGCTGTAAACGTAGGTAGTTCATAAACTAAATTCAGGCATCAATTTATTTTTTATTTCGAAAATAATATACTTAATCTTGTAATGTTATTTTTAGTCGTTAGTAATAAATCATACGTCCTGAGACATTCGCTGAAATTAACTTCAGACGTGTTTCTGAGATGGCAGGATTACTGAGCGAATATCTTTCTGAGAACTTTTAAATTATCTTATTTTTGTAGCGTGATATTTGTAAAAGGGATTATTAGGAATAATTCTAATAATCCCATCCCTCTTGTCCCCATTATTGAAGTACCTACTAAACAAGTGTGTAGTGGCTAGGATAGCAAGCGAATTTTACTTTTCTTCATCATTAACTCTAGACCTCAAGAAGGTATGTCTGGTTACAAATATAGACGGTTACCATACTAGTTACAGATGACAGCACATCAAAATAAGCACGGTGGCATCTTATCTCATTGTAATACAAGCTATTTTGCATTAAACATTTATAGACTATTTAGAGCCCTCTTCATTGCTGTCATGGCCATTAGTGATGCGAAGATGGCTAGTGCAAACAGCCATTAGGTTCCAAATAAAGAACTTGGAATGGGACTTACCTCCTCTCGTTCTCTCTTTAACTCCTACTGTCAGAATATTCAGCTATGTACTGATTCTGACTAATATGGAGATATGAATCACATGATGGCGTGTCAAGTGTTATAATACCACTATAGCCGAATAGTGAAGGGGTCGGACTGGCCGACTTGTGATCCGGGGAACGCGGGTTCGGTCCCCTCTGCCGCTCGACTACTGTGGTGAGCTCACTTGTGACACAAGCATATTTACTTAGTACGAGGGGCTAACGGGAGTATTAGTAATTTGTCAAACTCACCGATCCATTCCTCGTCCTCGAGAGCCAAGGCACCACCTCTCTCTCGACTGCTGTCACTGCCAGCAGTGGTGCGAAGATGGCCAGCGAGAACAGCCACAGTAGGATGAGCAGGCTACACGCCCCTCGCCGGGACGGCATCCAAGGCTGCCGGAGGGACTGCGTGATGGCCAGGTACCGGTCCACCGACATCGCTGTGATGGTGAACACGGAGGAGGCTACGGCCACTCCTGTGAGGGAAGGAGTAAAAAATATTTATTGCACATATAAGATTTAACAGTCTGCTTGTGACCACGGCTGCAGCATAGCAGCCGAAACGTCAAGCCGTGAGTACATAATGTAACTCATTAATAAACGTCGCGTTAAGACCCGTGTCTAACTATTTTATTTATTGCACATCATACAAATTACAAGATATACAAAAATATAGAGTTGTGACCGTGAATCAAAGAATGGATGGAAAAGAGGGCTTATATTTAAACGGCACATTTTTTTGCGACATAAAAGATTAGATAAATTCTGTTATTGCTAAAACCTTATGAATTACTTACACGGTTTGTAATGCATGTTGTGGTATGCGATTTTGTAGTCAAAATAAAATTGTATTAGAGTTCCGACTTTTTCCCGAAGGGCCTTGTAATCTCTCTTATGATTCGGCTCAAGGTTTTAATTTAACATGTACTACTTCTATTAGCTAGCCCTAAGTGATTACACACCCAACACGTGTCGAAACGTGTTTCGTATAAACTGTAGCAAATGAAAGTGGGTTCGAAGATGACGGCCGGTTCGTGCTCCTTTTACCGCACTCACTGGCGAGTGCGAAGTAACTCTTTCCGTATCGATATAAACATGTGGGCCGTTTATCACAAGCCTGCCCCCCAGACGTCTACTTACGTTGTTGAGCGATGTTATAGTACGCAACATATAGGGTGTCTTTTTAAATATTGGTCAAACAAAAAGGATTGATTCTACTGCTCAAATGCATTAACTTTCCCGTAGAAACAATAACGACATTCTCAAAAAAAAAAATGACGTCCCTATTTATACTAGTTAGCTGATTAGTGATGATATTGTGTGTAATTTTTTTTTAGATTTGAACTTCCTTCTCTTCATGAAAATTGTTACATTTGAGCAGTAGAATCAAACCTTTTTTTTATCTATACTTAATAAGACACCCTGTACAGTTATTATTCCCTAGTGTATCCAAGGCTTTACAAATAAGATTTACATCGGAAATATAGAGCCAATCAACACCGTGTGCCTTTATTTCGTAGAAGTTGTGAGCGCGTTGCTTATTTATCAATTTGTTTTCAACAAGGTTTCCGTCGCTGCACTGGTATAGGTATTCGCAATGTTAACTTTTTTACCTTTTGTACTTTCACCTTTTTTAAAATTAAACTGATATTCTTAGAATGATATTATTATACTCATTCCAAACATTATGTTTGATAAACTATAATTTGAACAGAAATAAGGAAAAGAAAGACAATAGAAATGTTTATGTAAGGGTTGGCATTCTAATCATTGTTTTATTGTTTTTTTTATGTCATTCATTTAACCTACGTGACCCCAGCTGCTCCGAAAGGTTAGCATTGCGAGTTTTGGGTCTATTGTCTCTACCTAAAGCTGCCATCAGCCGGGATTCCCCGGATTTGTGCGAATTTAGTAAATCGCTCAGAAGGGTTTTTAAAGATTTACAAGTGTGTCTACTTACACACAGTATTTTTTCTCAATAACATTCAGTATTCAATGTAAAGTTATCCGGTGCCCTCAATTTAGCCGATGGTGGCCCTACCTATGCCCAAATGACGTCAGGGACCGAGTTACCGGTAAACCGACAAATTAGCCCCTCCAAACTTTAGCACCTTGCCAAACATTTGCGAAGACATTGGCTTTGTTGGTCGTCGTATTATGTTTTACACTAGCTTTTGTCTGAGGCTTCGCCCGCGTGATATTTTATCTGTCACAGGAAAAGTTTATCGCTCGCGTCCCTGTTTCAAAACGGGAATAAAAACTATGTCATTTCCCGGAACTCAAACTATCTCTTTACCAAATTTCATCAATATTGGTTCATTGGTTAAGGCGTGAAAGCGTAACAGACAGACAGTTTCTTTCGCATTTATAATTTTAATAATATGGATTTTGGACAATACTCGCAACTCAAACAATCCACAGCCTCAAGATTAATTCTCTTAGTGGTTTTCAACCAGCGCGGCGGTATTAAATGGGACATAACTGAAAATACTTATTAACCAAGGATTACGAAAAATAATTGATCAAAGGTTACCTATCTATTAACTGCAGTCTGCGAGCCTGTACTTTCCATACTTATTCAGATAGTAGATCATTTAAGGTATCACTATATTGAACACTCACGGGAATAGGTACTTGTATTTTACCGTATTTTACACGAGTGCGTACCTAATGTTTACCCGCCAAAGACTCGACAAGGAATAAAATAATCCCGAAATATCCTTAACTTTGGCGTAAAAATAACGGCAACACCATGTTTTTATCCACTTAGGTCGCCAATAAAAAAGATTACTGCTGTAACAAAGCCATTATTCCCGAGCTCGGCTGACAGATCATGATCTACATAATCTGGAGCAGACTTCTGAGAAAATCAACTTATCCTATAATATTTTAAACTTTCGCGTTCCAAATACGAATACGTACGAATACGGATATTGTGAGTGTTGTGTGTCGTGGTAACATCACTAGTGGTAGTGTAACAAATGATATTATGGGTCAGGGTAGTTGAAAATCTTCAAGCCCGCCCGAACGGACGACGCCGCGAACCGCCAGTCTGCTTGTGACCACGGCTGCAGCATCGCAGCCGAAACGTCAAGCCGTGAGTACATAATGTAACTCATTAATAAACGTCGCGTTAAGACCCGTGTCTTACTATTTTAATCAACTTATCCTTTTCTAAGAGAACCTCCTTTGACAAATCTAAGCAATGCCGACAGATTAGGGACTTCATTTAATACTTAAATCTCAGAAATATTTTCATTTAATGCCAGTTCATTGGCTGATGTGGGTTTTTGCAATATAAGTATTTTTTACGCATGGTTAGATAGAAAACGGATTTTTTGAAGAAAAATATTTGCTCAATACGTTGGAAAAGATGTTTATGCTAATGATCACTAACTCACGGCTAAAAATATTAAAAATCAAAATAAAATATGATTTTTGGAGAGTGCGAAAATTCTCTGTGCATACGAGTGACAGACTCTTAAAATGTGGACATGAAAAAATAAAAAATCACACAAAAATAGTTTTAATAATAGTAGTAAATATACAAATCGGTTGTTTGAACTTAAATTACTTGGAAAATAGCTAATGTCGAGTTAAATGTAAAACATTATACATTCAAAGTCTCGGTTTTCAGCTACTTACTCGTAATTGTGAACACCTCACCATTTTACTATTCGGCATACGTAGGCTTATATTGAAATATTAATCGCCTTCACGAACTCACAAGAGCAATATAGGTAGGGTAGGTACGCATAGGAAAATAAACTAGAACCTAGAATTAAATTTTATTGGCTGCCTGAACTTGATTGATTGATCACGTCTTATTTTGACGATTTAGACACGTTACAGGAATGATAAATGATCATTATAAATAACAAATTATTAGGTTTGTCTCTTAAAAGGTAATTTTTTATTCGTCTCTATAAAATAATTTATTGACTACTTGCAATTAATGATCATCACTTATATGAATAAGTTAATAATAATTTGATTCAAGGCCAACTTTTCCGATAGCGAAACAATACCTAAATTTCAAGAATATTATCAGCAAGCGATGAAATAGGCACTTAATATCTAGGTCAAACATCACGTACATCCCAAGGAATACAATCGTTATCTAATTTTCCATTTATTATATTGCACTTGACCTAACCATACGATTCTCGCTGGAGCCTAACAAGAAATAATCTAGAACCGAAAGGCAATTTGCGAAACGTCGTAATAAATGAGGCTGCCCGTAACAGATCTAATTTCAGGCAAAGAGAAGTCTTCTTCACAACTCGATTGTAAGTTATTTCTGGATTCGTGATGTAACTGAACGCGATTCCCGGCACTCAAAGTAGACTTATTTTAATATAATAATAATAAAAACGTTTATTGCCAGTAAAACCAAATACATAAAGTCCTTATATCTAGCGGATGCCGCACTAAGCAAAGCTTGTGTCGCGGTAACCTTTAAAACTTGTTACACAAAAGAATCTTTACAAGTGGTCTGGGAACATTCGGATCAGAATGTTATTAACCAGGTAAATGAAATTTCTTACAATATTTTAATATTACTAATTATGCATGTAGGTATTTGACCGCAATTGCACCTGGTGTTCAGTGAGATGCAGTCTAGGATGGTACATATGTGCCCTGTAAGTGCCTATTCACTCTCTCCTTGAAAAGGCCCGGATTATAGTGTTCAGGAAAGACTGCAGCAGGCAGCAAATTCCACTCCCTAGCTTTTTTTTATTTTTTTACCTATCAATAAGGTTTCTTGTGTTTATTTATTGAGGAATACCAACAGTGTGTACAAACTATTAATAAGTTTGCCCCAAACTAAGCAGAACTAGTACTGTGGCGGCTAGATATTGAGTAAATATTATACTTACGCTGGGTTGCACCGTCTTACTTTAACAAACGTCAAAAGTCTGTCCAACTCATACAAAAAATACCGGTTATAGTTATAGTCACCGTTAAAGTTTGTCATTATTTAGCATTGTCTACTAACTAACCAAACCTTCAGGTCAAGAGCTTTTCAATTTCCTTTAACTTGTTTTAATTATTGCAGGAAATACCTTCACAATAATAACTATCGAAAACACGCGTGTGGATTCGTGGAAAAAGTTCAACAATAAATGTCCTCTTTATTTGATTACATCACAAAGTAATTCAGGAATGATTAGCTTCATTCCTTATACCTAGACATCCTTGAGATAGCGGAGGCAAATATTGGCTGAGCAAATATAATCTGAGCTAACCAATTCAGATTGTAATTAAATGTTTGAACAGACTTTCTATTGCCGGTTCCTAAAACTGTAATATAGCAGATTAATTAAATCAATTGTAGTAGCGTAGGCTGTTAAGTTGAAATACTACCGCTATGATATGACCATTTTATCTAGATATTCGCTGTAAGTGTCGTGGACGCACATGTTATCTGTGTTAGCTTAGGCACAGACCACCGAATTTTAGTTGGCCGATAGTT